GTTTAAGAATGATCAACACATAATTAAGTCTAGACATGGCTATAAATCAAAAATCAGCATGTACTGTAGATCCCTATTCAAAGGCCTATTTACACAAAAAATATTTCAATGGTATAAGTGGGCCTTTGAGTCGGTCACAGGAGGTTTTCACCAGGTACATTGATTCTATTATAGAAAACAATAAGATTGTGTCTGTGTGTGAGCATATGACTGATTCTGTTCAGTGTGGTTACGGTATATATATGTAGAAAAGTGAAGTGAGTCGCTGTTATACATAATACTGAATGTTTAATAGTTTTAAGTCTTTTTAATAAGCAATTATTTTTAAGGTTTCGATGAAAACCTTTAAAATAATTTCCCAGCCAAAACTGAAAGAGTACACTAATAAGCAGATTACACACTTTTCAGGGTTTTCCTGGCCAAAACTAAGATTGTGGTTGGCTTATGGGAATAAATTTCCAAGATCCCACTAATGGCAAGTTACCTCAAGATTATTACCCAGTGTGATAAATCAAGTTAAAATGTAAACAAATAAAACCAACAATTTTTATTTTTAAATTAATGGCATACGTAATGAAAAGTAAATAGAATAAAAAGGACTGGATTTACCTGAAGTAAAATGTTGACCAGTCATTGTCCTGGCATGTCATGATTCCTCCTGCACATTCATCATAAGAGCAGCTGTGAATTCTGGCAGTGATGGGGGTCTTCAAGTGATCTCTGTGAAAACAACAACTTAAACCTGGAAGTAAAATAATACATTAATTAGTAGAAGACAGAAACTTTATTATATTAGAGCGCAAGCTTGCATTAATATGAAGACAATATCCTATGAACAATTTTAACTTGAAAGTTACCATCATAAAAAGTACCAAAAAAATTAATCACACACTTGGTGTAATCATTGCTTTTACACCAGCCATGTTTACATGGGTGTTTCAACAAAAAATTACTGGTTCTCTAAGGGAAAGTTGAATAGCTTTGTTTATTTAATCTATTAAATAGTTAAAGTCCAGTCCAACCACTATTGGAATTAGGGAGGTGGTGTTAAATGAACAAAAGAAAACCTTCAAAATGGTCACGTCAAGCTCAGTGCAAGATTTTAACTACAACTGCATTACAGTAGTGAATCTTTAAAATTTAAATAAGATTTTTTGTCACAGATCAATAGTAATATAATTCTAACCTGCAAGATGTAACTCTTGATTATTACTACTATGATTTTAACCAAAAAAATGTATGCTATAGCGACAGATGAATCTAAATATAAGAAGCAATCAATCTAAATAGCTCTTTTGCATTTTTTAATTATTTCTTTTACAGCAAAAATGCACTCAATATGTCAGAAGGAAATTTAGATTTTTTAGGGATTTGTATCTAATTTTAACTAAATTAGGAATGTGCAAGACTTTACCCTAACCTAATCAGTGAAACTAACCATTCCAATACAGTCTTTTGATATTTTTTACATGCACTTGCGGGATTTATCTTTATATAAAGTGCATTCAAAGGATCAAGATACTAATATTTATTATTGGAAGGGGGATTAGGATGATGCTAGGTGTTAAGAGAAAATGTAAAGATATGTGTTTATTATAGCAAGTAATTGACTAGGACAGAGCCTCCCAGACTGTGTCCTGCTACAACCTGAAGTGTTAAAAAATTAATGGACTTGATAAAAGCCAATTATAATTAAGTTGGTATTTTTCACTAGTTCTCCAACCTACTTGGTACTCT